GGGGGGGGGATCGCAGCTGTAGCTGCAGGAGTAGAAGGTGCACCCCTGATCTTTAGACTGTATTTTAGGATTGTCCTGATCCGATATTTGGATCATATCGGCCGGCATGAGAAAATGCTAATCGAGACTCCAGATACATTTTTTTTTAAAGTCCGATCCCACCCGAGCATTAGCATTAGCATTAGCATCTTTTAACCCACAGGTCTGTGTAAACTTTAGTTGTTATCAGAGTAAATCCCTGTTCAACATGAGTCTGACAACTAAGTAAGTAGGAAAAAAAAATCAACTTTAATACAAAAAGCTGGATCGGGACATCCCTACTGTATTTCTACATATTAAGATGATTTCTATAACCATAAAATAGTTATTGAGGGGTGAATTGATTCAGACGGAGCACTACTGAAGGCCTAGGTGTAAAATGCACGGCCCGCCACTGTTATAATCATGGAATAACTAGAACTCAGCTCTGCCAAATACATATTTTAAACAGCAACCCATTCATCTATTTATGTGGCTGGCTGAGCAAAATTATAGGAATAACATTTCCAGATGGGCTCAAATGATGGAAGGATGGGATAAAATAACCAGATAATAAGGCACAATGAGAACATCCTTTTTGTAGAGGGTAGTGCATTGTCTATCATGTCACATAGTTACCAGAGTAGAACATTGCCATTTTATGTTGTTGTTTTTTTTTTAAACTGCAATCACATAAAACTCAAGTGTCTACTCTGAGAGCGCTGGCATTGCATTCAGCACAGCGTTTGAGTTCTTTGTGGAACCCTTTTTTACTGTTCTAAACTGCTCTGTTTTGGCATCTAAAAGGGCTTTGGTGTGCTTATGAAAAGTAAAGCCCTTCTTGACCCCGTGCTTTCCGCTCAAAGCATCACCATAATCAGGTGGAAGCTGAAACACAGTAAAACTCAAACACAATTACTTGGGAAAAAAATACTGTTATGGAAACTTGTGAAGAGACCCAAAAAAAAAAGGAAAGGTTTCAAGTAGACGTTTATGATTTGCAATGAAATATTTCAGTGAGGAATGTGTATAACAGTAAAGAAAGCTTTTATGGACGTTTGTGCGCTTGCTTAAGAGGGTCATAGCCTGCTGCCTTAAAAACGAAAACAGCTCTTTCGGCATACGGAAAACAACTCAGCAACCTTTCAGGCAATGAAATGACTCAAAGACAACTGACTGGCTGCAGTCATTGTAGATCTGGCACGCCACAGATTCAGATAAATCCTGAAAAAGAGCTATCAGCATTTCCATTAGTAGAAGTTTTCCACATTTATTGTTGGTTTATTTTTCCTTTTTGAGGTTTGTTCCCATTATCAGAATTTACAGCATTAACCACCTTCAATAAAGCAACTGTACCACCACCCTTTGGTGACTGTACCGTCCAGATTATTCTCTTGGAACCAGTAGAAGTGTGCCTACTTTTACATTATTTGCAGCTTTCAAAAGACGTCCACAGAAGTGTTTCATTGGTGAATGGAAACCCATACCTATATTAGGTTGTTGTTTTTTTTTAATCCAAGACAGTGTAAAGTCAGGTTAGTGGAAAGAAATAGAGGTGTGCACTGCAGGAAACGAAACCTTGTCAAATCAAGTGGATGGATTCAGCATAGAGAAGTTGGCATACTTTCAAGACAAGAAACCTTGGAATTGCCTAACTGTATGCACATAGAAAATGAAGCTGAATTCCCTCAGCACTTACTTTCAACCTCTATTTAGAGTGAATGGATCGAGCAAGGACAACAAGGCCTTTCTGAAAAAGCAGATAGTAAAAGGATGTTTTTTAAAGCTGCAACAGACCCATTGTGTAAGTACCAATGGAGTTGTCTCTTTCAAATTGTGTGACAGCGTCAGTTAATACACTGGAGTAGATTCACTCATAAAACTAATTCAGTAGTTAAAGCAGATACGATTACAAATGTGTCAGATTTAGTTTTATTTTGGTTTTGTCAGCAGCAAAATGAGAGTGGAGTATTTTGAGTACACGTATTCAATGAGAAAAATAACAGTTTTTTGTTTGTTTTAGCACATAAGGAACAAATACAGAGCGTGCAGGTCAGATTTTAAACACAGAGCTCAACTTTGAGAGTTTTAACTTTGTCTCAAAAGCAATTCAGAGCAAAACAGTCAAGTGCGAAATGCGATTTGGGGCTGTGATGCTATGTTATTGTCTCAGCACTTAACAACCATTAACAGTTCACAAAGTAATTACATTTTAGAAATGGCTGGCTGTCTCTCAGGCTGTTTGACTGGCAATTAGTCTAAGG